TCTCTTTGTCTCTGTCTCTCTCTCTCTGCCCCTCCCCTGCTCATGCGCCTGCCCTCTCTTTCTCTCTCTGTCTCCCTCTCTCTTTCTCTCTCTCTGTCAAAATAAACTTAAAAAAAAAAAAGAATAAAACAAAAGATTACCATGTCTTTATACAGAAGAATTACAAAGACTTATTGTATATCTTATATTTTTAGAGTTTGGAACCAAACAGAAGCTTCTCATTTTCTAATTTGTATACAAGCAGTTCTTGTTTTGGGCAAATCAGAATATCTTGCATCTAGAAAAAAATGAGAACAGTCCTTAACTTTAACTTTAAAGCAGTGTTTTTCAGAATCACACTCAGGGCTTGTTAGCTAGCACAGATTGCAGGGACTTACCCCACAATCAGAATTTCTGATTCTGTAAAAGTCTAGTGCTGGGACCAAGAATTTGCCTTTCCAGCAAGTTCCCAGGTGATGCTGCTGTTACTAGCTTGGAGATTACTCTTTGAGGAGCACTGCTTTAACCTTTTTTGGACTCATGGACCTCTCTGAGGATATGATGACAGCTGTGTACCCTCTCTTCAAAAAGATACAGTCATAGTTCTGCATGTAATTTCAAAGGGTTTTTAGAAACCTTGATGCCTGAGTAACGTGCCGCTGACTGTGCAGAGCCTGCTTGGGACTCTGTCTCTCTCTCTGCCCCTCCCCTGCTCTCTCTCTGTCTCTCTCTTAAAAATAAATAAATTCAAGCTTAAAAAAATGTTTTAGAAACCTCAGTGCCTAAAGAACCCTTTTTGTCTGTGCCCCCCTCAAAAATAAACATAAAAAAAGAACCCAGAATAGAATGTAGTATCATATAGCAAATAATTGAGACATTCACGGATGAGTATAATGTATTTAATAAGCAATGAAAAAACATTTTCTCAAATTCTTTTTTTTTTTTTTCTTAATTCTTAGAACCTAAAAGAAGCCCTCACAGATTTTTGTAAACGTTTATAGGCTCCTCAAAGTAGATTAAAAGTCATTGGGACGAGGGGCGCCTGGGTGGCTCAGTCAGTTAAGCGACTGATTCTTGATCTCAGCTCAGGTCTTGATCTCAGTGTCATGAGTTCAAACCCTGTGTTGGGCTCTGTGCTGGGTGTGAAGCCTACTTAAAAAAAAGAGTTATGGGGATGAAAAATACAGCATAGGGGGAATATAGTTATGGTATGGTAATAGCATTATATGGTGACAGATGGTAGCTACACTTGTGAACAAAGCATAATGTGTAGACTTGTCACGTGACTATGTTGTACACCTGGAACTGCTGTAACATGTCAACTATACTTCAGTAAAAAGATAATAGATTAAAATACTTATAGGAATAACTCCTTGCAATGCAGATTGTTGTCGGTGAGTAGACGCAGTTTAAGTTCTGCATTTGTTATTTATTATTAATTTTTTTTTATGTTTTATTTTTTACATTTGAGAGAGAGACAGAGACAGTGAGTAGGGGAGGGGCAGAGAGACGGAGACAGAGAATCTGAAGCAGGCTCCAGGCTCCTCCGAGCTGTCAGCACAGAGTCCGACACGGGGCTGGGACTCGCAAACCATGAGATCGTGACCTGAGCCCAAGTCAGACGCTTAACTGACTGAGCCACCCCGGCGCCCCTTAAGTTCTGCGTTTAGGGAGAGAATTACTTTTGAGGAAGTCTGGGTAGAGTCTTCAGCCAGGCATGGGGGCAGGTTGGGGGGTGTCGCCATGGTCTCTCTATTTCTCAGCTCTGCACATTCAGAAACTTCATGTCAATGCCTCCCAGAATTAAGTAGGTCAAAGGACTGACCAGCTGTTATGAGACCCTGATTTACTCGATGCTGACCTTAGTTTCTTTTCTCATTTATCTATTTATTTTTAAAGATTTTAGTTTTAAGTAATCTCTACACCCAACGTGGGGCTCGAACCTACAACCCTGAGGTCAAGAGTTGCGAGCTCTACCGACTGAGCCAGCCAGGTGCCCTGATGCTGACCTTAGTTTAAATGGGTAGATAGGACTTTCCTGGAATACTGGTGTACTTAATTGTGTAATGAAGCACATTTTATTCCAGAAGATGCTGTTAGGAAAAAAAATGCTGTTAGTAGTTATGGACTTATTGTTGGGTCACATCTAATTATTGTTAGCCTAAACCTTTTATATACGTAATTATTTTATGTATGTAAATTATGTTTCTTGGTATCAAGCTACTTGAGGGATGGGATCAAGTGGCCTGTTCAAACTCAGTCAGTTAAGTAAGTGGCATTAGTGGGACCCACATCCAGATTTTCTGATTCCAATACTGGGCTGTTTTTCCCCCTTATAGCAGAATTTCCTCCCTGAGTATATATGTTTTTAATTCTCTGATTTCTTACGGTAGGAACTGCTTATACTTCTGTTATCTACTTACCACACTCTGCCTTCTGTTATAGTGTAATATATATGCCCATCCCTCTCACTGATTCATGACTTTCCTGAAGATACGGGTCATTCCTTAACCTAATGCCATGTATAAATTCACCTACGACGTGCAAGGCACTTATGGAGCTTAATTTTAGTGGTGAGTAGTTAAGTATTAATCAGATTTTATTTTGATTTTTATCAGTGTATCCAGAGTGTGTATACCAATAAGATCATAAGCAGTAATCAAGATCTCTTGGCGGTGGTGTTCTATGGTACTGAGAAAGAAAAAAATTCAGTGAATTTCAAAAATATTTACGTCTTACAGGAGTTGGATAATCCAGGTCAGTAGTATTCTAAGATCAGCTCTTCCCTTACATTGGAAGGTCACTACCCTGAACAAAGAGGGGCGTGGAGAAGGAGGTAGATCCTGGGTTGAGGACTTTGTGGGTTAAACACCTCCAGGGTGAGAATAGGACCCTAGGCTCTTCTTTTAGCCTTACCAAAGCAGCACTGACACCATTCTGATTTTTCTGCCCGTTTGACTTCCTGTCTCTGATCAGGTGCTAAGCGAGTGCTTGAGCTCGACCAGTTTAAGGGGGAGCAGGGGAAAAAACATTTCCAAGATCTCATTGGCCATGGATCTGACTACTCACTAAGTGAAGTGCTGTGGGTCTGTGCCAACCTCTTTAGCGATGTCCAGGTCAAGATGAGCCATAAGAGGATCATGCTGTTCACCAATGAAGATGACCCCCATGGCAATGACAGTGCCAGAGCCAGCCGGGCCAGGACCAAAGCTGGGGATCTCCGTGACACAGGTTGGCATTTTTCCTGATCTTTTAAGTTGGCACTTAATCTTACTACTTCTCTATAGATGATGTCAAACATTTGCTTTTCACCATTCAGAGTGAAATAAAAGAATAAAATGAAGTTACACAGGTATAACATTCCTGCTAAAAATAACTAGGCCATTAACTTTCTTTTTTTCTTAAGTTTATTTATTTATTTTGAGAGAGACAGAAACAGCTCAAGTGGGAGGGGGGCAGAGAGCGAGGGAGAGAGAGAATCCCAAGCAGGCTCTGCAATGCAGGGCTCGAACTCACGAAACTATGAGATGACGACCTGAAACCAGGTGCCCTTAGGCCATTGGCTTTCTGAAGGGCTCCACTAGAGTGAGCTTTTCTTGACTTTTCATGCTACCAGGCGTGGCAGTGGTTTGAATAAGTTGTCATTATAGCAGCTGACTCCCTTACTGATTCTTTAAGTCCTGAAAACGTTAATAATCCCACGAGTTCTTTGCATATTTGAGCTCAACTGAAAAAAATTCTCACTTGATGAAAACTGTTTGTTTTCCCCTCACTTTTGGCTGTCCTTGCCCCAGGTATCTTCCTGGACTTGATGCACCTGAAGAAACGTGGGGGCTTTGACATATCCTTGTTCTACCGAGATATCATCAGCATAGCAGACGATGAGGACCTAGGGGTTCACTTTGAAGAGTCGAGCAAGCTGGAAGACCTGTTGAGGAAGGTTCGAGCCAAGGAGACCAAGAAGCGCATGCTCTCCAGGTATGCTCGAACCTGGGCTAGTTGCCCACAAGTCCCCTACTTAATCTTAAGCACCGCATTGCCTTGACCTCCCTGAATACTTACCTCTGGGCTGTGCCTCACTGTCTTCCTCTAAAACACTTGCTTTACTTCAGGATGGACAAGCTGTTTGCTGCTTTTTCTCTGGAAAGAGCTGGTATGCTAGTTTTCCAAAATAACACAGCTCTCTGCTTGCTTGGGGTAAACAGTTGTGGCCTAACGCTGTCCTCAGTTGCATGCACTAGTATATCGTCTGCTTTCTTCTCCTCTGTAAATTGTGGATAACAGCAATACCTAGTATAGAGCAAAAACTCAGAAAGGGCTAGTTATTTTCTCTGTTGTTAAGTTATTCTGATTTCTTTTTTTTTTTTTAAGTTTTTGAATGTTTATTTTTGAGAGCGAGAGAGACAGAGTGTTAGCGGGGGAGGGGCAGAGAGGGAGAGAGACAGAATTGGAAGCAGGCTCCAGACTCCGAGCTGTCAGCACAGAGCCCGATGTGGGACTTGAACCCACAACCCGTGATAATCATGGCCTGAGCTGAAGTTGGATGCTTAACCGACTGAGCCACCCAGGTGCCCTAAGTTATTCTGATTTCTTATAAACCTGAGACCAATAGGAACCAGGTTGTTAGATTATCTTCTTTTTTTCTTTTCTTGTTTATTTATTTACTTAGAGAGAGACAGAGCATTAACAGGGGAGGGGTGGAGAGAGAGGAGAGAGAGAATCCTAAGCAGGCTCCTCACTGTCAGTGCAGAGCCCAACGTGGGGCCCAAACCCATGAACCGTGAGATCATGACCTGAGCTGAGATGCAGAGTTGGACAGTTAACTGACTGAGCCACCTAGGCACCC